AATATAAATTGTATAAAAAATTACAACTAATGTAAAAATTTTTTCATATCCAAATAAAATTATTTGTCTTAAGAATTGATTATAAAGAAAGAAATGGTTCCTTTACCTAACTCCTAAATATGTTCTTTAAATTCAAAAAGCTCCTTGTAATTCAAACATTAAAAAGAAACTTTGTACTAATTAAAAATTAATGTACTAAATTAAACATTTTTTAAAAGCTAAGGGGGGGAGGGGGGAGGGGGCAGCTTCCCCCCTCTCCCCCTCCCCGTCCCCCCAAAATGTCCTACATAGGGATGGCAATTTCCTCCACGACCCGCAGAGGTTCATGGAGACCCCCGTCGGTTCATGGAGACCCCTGTCATGGGGATGGAGATTCCAAGAATATTTTTCCCCGTGGGGCGGGGATGGAGGCATTTTTTTCCCCATGAAATTTCATGGAAAATTTCCTCCACCCGTGAGGAACCGTGAGAATTCATATAAAATAAAATATATATATACATAAAATAAAATATATATATTTTTTATTTTTTAATTCTCCTCCCCTTCTTTCTCTTTATTTAGAAATGTAACTAAATTAAATAGAAATGTAACTAAATTAAAAAAATAAAATAAATGAAATTTTTTTCTTTTTCCTTCATTTTCCTTAATTCAAATATACTATTAATCATAGGTCTTGAATTTGATCTATAATTTTTACATACAAAAAAATTATACTAATTTTTATATTAATCACTAAGTTTATGGGTAAATGTACTACTTATAACATATATACCAAACTTTAAATTAATTAAATATATTTAATTATTTTTAAAAACTAAATTAAAAAAATTAAAATAAATGAAATTTTTTTCTTTTTCCTTCGTTCTCCTTAATCCAAATATACTATTAATTATAGGTCTTGAATTTGATCTATAATTTTTACATACAAAAAAATTATGCTAATTTTTATATTAATCACTAAGTTGATGAATAAATTTACTACTTATAAATTATAACATATATACCAACTTTAAATTAAT